TACTAAGATAATTTTACTAGAAAATATTACTTTGAATATTCAAGATGGGCAGAATTGTGTGTTACTTATGACTGAGTTCAACTTTAAACGCTATCCTATACATCTCCTCAAGCATTTTAGCAGCTATGCTGAATTTACATGTGATACGGAAGAATAACAAGATCAATGGAAGTATGCAAATAACACATTCAAGTCTGACCAACTAGAAAGTACATGTGTTAATATAAGCTATGTTAGAATTTTGGAAAAAATATCATTTATTTTAATAAACCAGTTTCTTTCAATGTTGTTAATCCAACATCTCTTTAATATGAATATTCTATCATTCCTTCATGAGAGCTGTGTGAAGAGTGGCAGTTGATAAAAGAGATCTGATTCCTTATGATTGCTTATTTAAAAGCATATTTGCCCAAATGATTAAGTCCATAGGACTCTGTATGGTAGTTCCAGTTAAGAAAGTAGCGCCCTCTATTGTTAGTAGCAAACTTGCAGTATACAATGCTTGCCTCTACACGTTTGGTAGCTGATGGTAGCTGTATGCAGCTGTAAAACGCTGTATGGAGCTGTAGGTTGTGCTGTTTACTATAATTTATGCTAAATAACTATAGGTGTCTTTCTGTCCATCAACTCTCTCTAAATACTCTTTTTCTATAAGAATGTCTATACATTTCTGAAAAAACAAAATAAATATATATTTATTAATTGTATAGCATATAAATTGTAAGAGCTCATGAACGTTTGATATATAAAAAAAGTTCGGGTGAATTAAGTTTTTGCTATATTTGAAAACTCACTTAAATGTCAAATGGGATTTTGAGAGATTTGCATATTTAACCACGTAGGACTTCCCTTGAATTTTATCTTAAGACATATTTGAATTCTGTACATAATTTTTTAATAACTAGAAGGACTTTGAAGTTATTTCATTATATTCAATTTCTAGGGTTTTTAACTTTTCCGAAAAAAGGCTGAGCTAAATCTCCATTGATAGAATGTAAAAAATATTTAACATGTTGATTTTTTCTTTTAAGAATCACATTCTAAAGGTTAAAATCCACTATCTAAACGTCAACACGATTAACATTAATCCATTTGGAAATATTCAATATATCAAGAAATTAAGTAACTTTCCGTCAATTTTTCCAATTTTAAATGCTGGAATCTAGGCCTACCTTAACACATGCTGACATCTAATTGTCTGTCTATATAGTAAAATGGTCAATTGGAAAACAAAAGGAAAAAAAATTGGGAAGGTCAGCTTGAGAGAAACTATAAAAGTTGCTTTGTTGCAATATTTAAAGTAACTGTAAACTTTTCAGTGAAATAGCAAACTAAAGACTTCGTTTTCAATGCCCTAGTATTTCCAATGGATTAATACTACTTGTACTCCTGTACTCAGTCTTTCTTTCGATACAAAAGCCAGGTCAAAGCTTCAAAAAAATTATTAAAATATTTTCCAATATAAAAAAAGGTGGCGAATATATCTCATTTCACATGATTCATTCATTTTTTCTCAGTGTCAACCATGCACGCTATCTATTCATTCAAAAGTAATTCAAAAACATGTTGATAAGAATGCATACAATGTTAATGATCTTTGAACTTCTACAACATCTTCTCCATAAGTCATTTATTTCATTTTTCGCTTCAAAAGAAGCTTTTATAAGTATTCAATTGAAGTAAAACCTCAATTTTTCTATTCTATTTTCTTCTTGAATGTGCATAGTGGCTCTTTAACCTTACATTTACCCGGTATAAAACTTGTATTTGAACAGGACTTATAAGCAGAACCTTTGAAGAATAACCTTTATTTAGAACAGAAACTCAATGTCTGAAACTTACTTGTACAACAAGAATGCTAAGATTAAAACTTACCTTTATAACAGGAACTCTAGGTTTGAAACGTGATGAGAGCTGGTTCAGAACCTCTCCCAGTAACTGCTGATGCTTCAACATTTTACGCATCTTCATTATTCGCACTATGGCAGCCTAGAAAATAAAGGATTGTCTTACATTATACAATACTGGGAGTGAGAGAAGGGGTGTGAAAGGGTAAGCCAGATCTTCATAGAAGCAAAAAATGTAAATATTTGGTTCTGATCACTAAAATTTGAGTGTTCTGAGGAGGTATTTAAAGACACCATATCATTTGACTATGTAGTAATCGTAGATATCGTTATTTGGTATTACTGACCTGTATTAACAATTTTCTGTCTTCTTCTATATGTTTATGTGTCACCTCTTGTTCATTCTTCACTTCAGTTTTCATGGGAACATTAATGTTCACTCGAAGCTTTTTGCTGGAAAAAGGAGTATGTCAGTGAAAAACACAAATATATTAACCTGAACGCATCCATAAAAGAAAGTAAACATGTATATAATAGTTTGCACAAAGGTAGATTTAGTACTTCAGCTCTTTCAAGATAATGAGATTGTTTCTATGAGTACATGAGCTATACTTTTGTTAATTAAAACCTGTGTAAAACCTGACCCCTCTGAGCATACTAAATGTGAAAACTAGCTTAACATTCCCTATATTCTATATGTTTCTCAAAACAACTAGATCCCCCTCTAATGAAACCCCTGCTTACTTTTTGTATCCCGTGTAAAGCTTGATGACTGAATTGGGTGAGATATCTGTATCTTCCTCTTCAGTGGTCAGCAGTTTGGACTTGAGCAGTATTTGCAACACCTGGCTGAGAATGTCATCCTTCACCTAGAGAAATGCACATCATAAAGGCTACAGTAAGGACAACATGTGCTATTCATCCAATTGTTCATCAGTATAATCTAATGATGATTTACATCACAGTTCATTCGCTAGAATCACTTCACAAAAAATGCTTTGCTTGCAGGATTTTTCAAATTTATTTAAAGTGATATCTGTGAAATAATTGTTTGAATGCATGTAGTGCCAGTCATAGTTTTTTTTATTAAATGTCTCTAACTTTAGATTTTGTTCAAGTTGGGAGCAAACTATAATGATTTTTTGTCATTTAAAAATTCTCAAATGATGTTTGCTTCAATGCTAGAGAATAGAACACTACATATATGTTTAGATGTTCTTATGATGAGAGTATCTCCAAACCTGTGTGCTTTCCTGCAATTGTTGGTATGTATAACTGGTAGATTGATTGTACATAAGGAGGACTGCCATCTGAAATGTCGATGCCTGAAACAGAAATAACCAATAAAGTAAAACCAAATTATTTAACTTATATGTATATTCTAATATTTCACTCATGTATACATTGATGTATAACTGTAATTAATTTATATTAATATTAGAAATAAATTGATAATATAAAAAACACTCACACTCAAACTGGATTGAGTGTGAGTAGAAAGAGGGTAAGCCTTGTTGAAACAGGGCAATATAATTCAAAATTTAGCGATTATAGGAAAACAATGTAATGATGTTTTATTCAAACTACAAGTGAAAACTGCCTCTGACCTGTAAAGTATATCTATTTTTGAAGCAGTTGGTGACCACCTCCCCCTTGGACATATGATAGAGCCAGTTCAGTTTCCTTCCACTGTGCTGACTGCTATAGAACACAGTAAATCTCTGGAAACTGCGCTCCAACTAAAAATAATGTAAAACATTCATAATATCAAATAAAAATCTACAATGCAGCAGCTCAAAAAAATCAAAAAGTTGTGTTCAATATATTATCACACACGGCTGAAAATGATTTGAGTAGAGTGAGCACATCTAGTTAGGAAACAGAATTAATCAAATGTTGATGAAAAACTGGGTGATATTTTTATCAGTAGAGAATGGTGACATACCTCAGATGGTAGGGCAAATGTACATGACTGCTGAAATGGCCAGGACCCAGAGCTCAGCACTTGGATACTGAAGTCAACTGAAAAGAGGAACATAGTTGTTTGCCAAGCTGAACACATAAACTTTACATACCTTATAATGCATAAGACTTGTTCTAGGTCTGATTACTATTTTTCAAAACATTCCTATTAGGGAAACCATGACTTAATCCATTTTTGTATTTTTCGGCCATATTACTGGAATGCCTTTATTTGGATTTATAATTGTACAACAGTGACACCATTTTACAATGGATAGTTTTCAACAGTCTAAGCTACAGTGTTGATTTCACTTAACTTTCCTGTAATATAAATAACGCTTTCTCAATACAAGGAGTACAAAGTTTACTCACTGTCCAAGGGGTCTGGTGATTTTTGAAGGTCCCGTTTAAAATGTTCGTTTAAGTCTTTACTGACACCAATATCTTGGAACATGCGCTGCAACTTGCTGGTGTACTCAAACCCACATGATTGCTGCAAGAAAGAGCCAATTATTGCAATATATTGGGACACAATGTTGTGATGGGAACTTCAGTTAAAGTAATTCAATGGGAGCCACTGTACTCAATAACTGCTGCAAATAATACTGTTAGGAACCAGAATTCCACAACAGAATTATTACAAAAGTGACTAAAATACTGTTTTGGATCAACAATCAGAAACAATTATAAATACCTTAAGTTTTGAGATCATGCTTGCCTCTGCATCATCACTAGCGGACATATGTTGAACCAAACGCTTCGCTAGCATCTTGCTGTAGAACTTCTGGAACACGTCTTTATCCTCTATGTACTTGAATACTACCATCTGGAAATGTATACAACGAAGAATATATACACACATTTAAGGCTTGTAATTGCTAATTATATAATTTGCAGTAATTGACTCAATGATTCTAATAATTTTTAGGAAGATGACAACAAATGTCGGACATGCTAAGATGATAGAAAAGTTGAACAAACAGTACCAGTCAAGTTTGACAGGCAAAACTTGAGTTTCTTGAGCATGAGTAACTCACGCATAATTATCTGCATGTGAGAAAGGTCAAAGGTTATATTCTATATGAGACAAAGACTCACCACTTGATTCAAAGTGTCCTCCAGTTCAGCTTCTTCTGGGTTCTTAGAACTGAAAAACATCAATGCCAGCATAAGTTCCCATATATGTTTACATAATCGCCAGTGTTACGGAATTGTTCATTTATATACTAATTTATCTTTATATGTATTCAGTATTATACCCATCTTTGTATTTGTATCATAACATACTATCCTCAGGGTCACACAAACACAAAATTGAGTTAAAATATTTGAGTAAAAGTAGCACTACAAGGGATACTGTATTGCTTATAATGAAAATGGATTGACCAATTTTTACTTATCAATGATAGGCTGTAAAATGGGATCTAGAAACAAATATGAATTGCTTTAAATATAAAGGTACCTTTTCTTAAGTAGTAGATCGCAATATCTGGCGAGTAATTCTGGTGATTTACTGGATGAGTTAGCCATCTTGGTTACACTGTTGGTGTTGATGAACCTACCGCAGGCCTACAAACAACCCAAAATTATCAAGTGTAGGTTTCATTAGATGTTGTATAGGAGAGCTGGTTCCATTTTTCATTTTGACGAGTCACAATTTTGTGAATAATCCTGTCAAGTCTGTTAATGATTCAGTTCGATTTACTAATGATACCAACGAGTGTCAACATAAATGATACATATATGATCAGAATCATATAAAGGACTATTGAATATAATAGGTGTTTACTCACTTTATCTAGTGCCGCTACAAAGCCAGCATCATTGTTGAAGGCTACCATAACTAAAGCATTGTATTTCTTGTGGACATCTAGGATGGTTTGCACATAAACTTTAGGGTCCTGTAATTAAAGAACAAAGTAGCTTAAAGGCTGAATCACCAATAAAAAATAGTTGGTTAATGTTTTTCATGTTCTGACATAATAACCTAAATCATCAATTTTATTTCTGAAATAATTCCAACAAATGAGTACATTTATAAACAAAACTGATATACAGTCAAAGTTTTGGTGAATATTTATGTTACATCACTTACATTAAGGGCCGCTTCCCCACACTTTTCTATGGCTGCCAGTCCTTGGTTGTAAATGTGGGACTCGAGCAATGTCTTAAGCTCCCATAGACCATCTGTGATACGAGACACCAATTGGTACATACGTCCTAGGTCTGAAAAGTGTTAATTATAAATAAGACACAACATAAAACCTAGATTCAAAATCAACAGCCACCTGTTAACCAAATTATCATTAACAATGTTTCTGAGTACAGAATTCACGTATGAACAAAATCGCTCCACTACTTTTCCAGTTATAGCAAAAATATTACACATAAAAATGGCTGCCTATGATTAGCCAAATTGTCATTAGACTGAGTGAGTGTATTCACATATAAAATTTGAAGAAAATCACTCTACGACTACTTCAGCAACTGATTAACAAGGCATTGTCAAGCAAAATGTCACCACCTGTCATTTTTTACAGAGGCTAAATGCCAAACACCAACCGCTGAACACCATCCACGAATATGTCACCACTTGTGGTGGTGACATAAAACCCCTCCATTTGGTTTTAGGCTTTAAGCTACTCACCTCCATTCTTATCATCATTTAAAAGATTCTGAAATTCTGCGTGGAATATTTCTAAATGTTTCTCAATGAGAACCTTTTCACAGACTCTAGCAAGGAAGTCATGTGTGCTTTCATGTAGGTACACCTGTACTCTACGCTGTTCTTCCAATAAACGAGACTCTGCCTGGAAACATACAATATGCCCATTCATTGAAGAGACAAAATAATGTGTTATAGCCACTAGTGATTGCCAATTATTAATAGGCTTTTACTAAGACTAGCACCAGCATTTCATTATGCTAAGGAAAACCTTTGATTCACTTATTGTTCATTTAGTTTGGAATTTTACTTCTGATTCACCTTGTGCTTCAAAGTTATCCAAGGATTACCATGTTCTTCAACATGACCTTATTTCATTGAAATATTTTTTGATCACTTCACCCAAAGGTGCTTTGCGTAATTATTACACCTCACTTAAAATTTGATGGCACAAAAATTCAAACTAACTTTAATAATAAATTAACATAGAGAACCCATATTCAAACAAACTGGGTTCACTGCATACCTTTTTCATGTATTCAGTAACCGGGTTCTGTCGGAGGAACTCAGAGCTCTCTCTTGTGTAGTAGCGAGTTGTGTCACTCAAGAAATGGTTTTCAAAGCTCTCTTTATAAACACTTAGTGTTGGACCTTTTGCTGATGGGTCATCTTCATTCAGTCCTAGTTCAACTGCAACACAGAAATCATTTTAATGCAACTTGGATTTTAAGAGGCAAAGTCGAGTCAATTATGGGTAGTTCAAAGTACCCTTTACCAAATCATGCCTTTATGAACATCTGAGGTTTCAGTCCATTTTGCCAATTATGAAAATAGTAAGAGACACATATACTTAATCTTATAAATTGTGGCAGTTGCATTTATTCTAGATGTCTTATCATGATTAATAATGCTTATAATTATATTTGTATAGAGACGTACCATAACAGTTGATGACACCACTGACCAGGCGTGTATTAATAGTTTCTCCATTGCGTTCTTTCTCAATGAGTTTGAGAACTGCATTGGTTACTTGTTTGTTGAGTGGGTGGAACAGGTTGTCCCGCCATGTCACAAGTGCTAACTGAAACAACAATACAAAATTCACATTATTGCTATAATACTTTTACTTCCCACTGGAAACAAAGAGATTTAACAGTACATGTACTTTTTTCAAGTGTATTCATAATTATTAAGATTTTTGCATTTTATGAATTCAATATAAAACAAGACAACTGAGCACAAATAGCTGCCAAAAAGTTTGTTAAAAGAGTGATAAAACAGGCCGCTCAATAAATCAAGTTTTTCTCTTCAACACCGAATTTTTCCAAATTGATAGATTTATCATAATTCATCCACACGGACATTCGATAAGTGCTTGTACTCACAGAGTATATTTCATATATTCCTTTCCTTCCCTCATCACACTCACGCCTCACCCAATGTCGGTTTAGGTAGGCACATACACCATTAAGGACCTTACTGGAGAACTGGTAGTCTTCCCATTGTTTAGTGTAGAACTTGAGCACATTTTCATCCATCAAATCTTGACCATCCTGTTACAAAAAGAAATAAAATTATATGATGTTTAAATTCTATCACTGTTCAGTTATATATCTGATTTAAATGGGCTGATTAACATTTTGCAGATTATTGACATAGATAAAAACACTTAAAGGCTAGACTTAATTTAAGTCACTCGACCCCAAAATATGGATATCCCAGCCTTGGATTGAAGAGTGGGGGAGAGGCATAGTAGCCTTATAACACATGCCTCCAAAAAGGAAAACACTAGTAAAAATAACAATAACGTCCACTCCTGACTCCAACTGAATAACATGATGACTTCTTTGAGGCACATTCAAAATATATTTAGAAATCTCATAATACTTCCAGCTTTTCCATTACAAATTTATTTCAGTGGATGAAGCGAGCAACAAATTATAATTTTTTACTGATAGTGTTATGTAAAGCAATTATTCACAAGACACTAAACTTACCTTCAATAAATCTACTAAGTAATTTTTGAGGAATTCTTTAAGACGCTTATATAGTTCTAGACCAACAAACTGTGCTCCACCAGTAGGTTGACCTTTCTTGGACTTAGCCGAACCTCTTTGTTGACTACTTTGATTTGACTGGTGTACACTTGTGCAATAATTATATACATGACTGGGAAAAAATTAAGGAAATGCATTTCAATATACAGTATATTGGATTAATGGATAAATGATGATTTGGTTTAAATCATATTCTAAATCACAGGCTGGTATAGAAAAAATTGTCCGCTGTGACGGAGCGTGCTATTTTGCATAGAAACACTAGGAAATCCACACAATTTATTTTTTTACTCATATTTTTTGCTATATCAAAGAAAATTACTGACTCCATACAATGAATATATCATTTGCAGGTAACTTTAACTTCTGTTTGAAGTCCAACAACGCAAAGAGTAAAAGCTATTGAAAACGGCGTCGGAGTATCATACTCCAAAATGTACCATTTCTTTTATTTCTTTTTAATGGTACAATATAGCGACACTATAATATTTACATATGTTTTCAGCATAACTCTGAAGGTATTAATGAGATCTGTATGTATTGGATATTTTTTATTTTTTTTTATAAAAAATAATGTTTAAATTTTTTGTCCGCTGTGACGGAGCAGTTTCAAATCTGAAATACATTAAGACTTTAGATTTATAGATTTATAATATATCTCTTTATAACTACACGTTAGAGGAGGGAGCGTGTTAAATCTCTTTCGTAAAGTATTCTGAAAAATAAAACGGAATAAAAGTACATAATTCAAATTCTGAGATGGATATACGACCACTCTTCAAGCTCCTTTTCTCAGTTTGTACTGTAATCCAAGTTATGCATGGTAACTCATTAAAAATGATAGTCAACTTTATTTCAGTATAGGGTATTTGCCTTTCGTTGTGCCTACTGTGGATCCATCAACTGACATGGTCATTTTTTATGGCAACTTATATTCAGTAATATTATGTGGTAAAAGGTTATACATCTGTTGGAATGCAGGATGTCTTTGCGCTATTTCGAATAAATTCATATTAGCGCTATTTACACTACACGTGACATTCCAAGACGTCTTGGCGAAAACGTATTAGAAATATTATGTTGAGTTTATACCATGTTGATTCATGTTGATTTTAGTACAAACCTCCGAAAAATGCTAAGAGTCGTCGTTTTTACATCTCAGATTTACATTACCCCAGATCTCCCAGAGGCTACTTGTCATAATTTAGGAAAGTGATTTGTGACGTTCTCTCTTCTAAGGGTACTTTTAAAAGGTATAATTTGAATCTTAAATTCTTAATGTAGTTCACAGTTAAAACTGCTCCGTCACAGCTGACAAAAAATATAAACATTATTTTTTATAAAAAATATTAAAAATACCCAATACATCAAGATATCATTAATACCTTCAGAGTTATGCTGAAAACATATGTAAATATTATAGTGTCACTCTATTGTACCATTAAAAAGAAATGGTACATTTTGGAGCATGATACCCCGGCGCCGTTTTCAATAGCTTTTACTCTTAGCGTTGTTGGACTTCAAACAAAAGTTAAAGTTACCCGCAAATGATATACCCATTGCATGGAGTAAGAAACTTTCTTTGGTATAGCGAAACATATGAGTAAAAAAATAAATCGTGTGGGTTTCTTAGTGTATCTATGCAAAATAGCACGCTCCGTCACAGCGGACAAATTTTTCGATACCAGCCTGTGTAAATTGAAATGTTAAATTCTTCAAGCATATTGCATTTCATGCATGCACATGAGGATGGATTCTGATGATTTACTAAAATATTTGAATGCTATTTAAACACTTCATGTATTAGTTTGTAACTACATGTCACTACACATGCACCCACTAATATTAGAAAGGATACGTATAAAGTGATATATATCTCGGCTTGGCCATGGTTTGCTTGTTATATACATCTTCTACTCCAGATCTCAGATCATCCCAAATCTGATCAAGTCCAATTTGTTTTAATCCATGTGGATTAGATTTTGTGGATGGCCCTGCCATACTAGTTTTTTGAGTCCTTGTCTCTAACGAAAATCACTCAATTAATTTCCCTTACTACACAGTGCTGAAGTTACTCAAGGCATTTTGTGATGGCAGAATTTTGGCTCAGTGATACCTGAAATATAGTTTTAATAAAAATAACAGATGAGAAATATAATTCATCATTTACTGATTGATCAGAGATTTTTTTTTAGACTTTACCACTTAAGTCAAGCCATATGAAATAAAACGTTTCCATATTAGAGGTTTCGCAACTCACTTATAGCATGTTTAATTGTTTATTATTCCCGCATAACTTATGAAGCATTTGATTACATCATTAATTATTGCGCAGCCCTATATGCCCATAAAAGTGTGATATTCTTATAAATCGTTGTCTATAAGTAAGAATATCATATTTATGGACGTTGCTCAATAAATGATGACATAATCAAATACTTCAAGTGAGTTGCGAATTATATTAACTTCACCGTAAGTCTGAAAAGCAAATTTGTGAGACACTACAATTATCGCACAGTCCTAATTGTTGCACGATTGTCCTGAATGGCTTAAATATGCACTCACCTCTTTTAACCAGTGTTACTTATACCAGCTCAACACCATTATCTCCCAATTTTAATGATTTATCCATATATCTTTTAAATATCTCTTCATTTTTTTAAAAACTATGCCATTGTCCTAAATGTGCATGCCCAGTCAGACGACAGAAGTGAAAGTAGTCTGTCAAAATTTGACCCCCTCCAAATAAAGACAGAAACGGAAGTGAACAAAGAATATTATATTAACCTGCACATCGCTCCAAAAGGCAATCTTGGGTTGTTTCGGGTTGGAACTTTATCATTTTGAGTTTAATGAAAGATTATAGAATGATGAACAATTGGGCCAAATCTTGTGTACAAATACTCACGATAAATGTGTCATTTCAAAGATTGTTTATTGAATTGCTTTGATTGTCGACGACAATATGATTTTTGGAAGGTTTCTAAATTAAGAACGTGACATCACTTCCGAATTATAGCATTCAACATAAGTAGCGTTTAATTACCCTTTCGATCATAATAGGATGAATAGCGCTGCGGTAGAATGCTCGCCTAGCACGCAGGCGGCCCGGGTTCGAATCTCGCTCTCATTTTTTATTTTTTAAACTAATTGATTGTTCTTTGATTTTACGCAGAAAAAACAATTTTTATTTACAGAAACATTATATAAGAGCTTGAAAATGTAAAAACAATATATGTCAACATATTGCGTTTTGGAGCGATGTGCAGGTTTAATATTTCAAAAGTAAACTGATAGAACACTTCACATGCAAAATGTCACTGGAATTGGATAAAGAAAAATAAACACCTCTCATTTGTTACAGACACCAAATACCTAGCACCAACGGCTAATCACAATCCTCAAAAAATATATGATATTGTCAGTAGTTTTGCCAAGTACCTGTGCAATATCCGAATGCTAACCCTTTAAAACCCTGGAGACTCACATGTGTGGTCGACCTAATTACCTCACGAGTCATCCTAATTATCCCAGGGGTGTTTTTTTTATCGTCATTTTATGGTACTTTGTACATTTCGATGTTTATAATAGACCTTGGAAAAGGCTACATCCGCTAAATGAGAACTTGTATTTTTAAACAAAATGAGATTGTAATTACATATTTAGCCGTTTTTGGCTTTTATCTTTTTAAATGATTTATAAAAAAAATCATCTTATTGAAAATTTGTTAGGTTAATGTTTTATTTATCATCCAAAGTCAGAATCATCACTGTCCCAAGTGATATTGTATCCTTACACACTTCCCTGAAAATAGGAAGAAAATTGTGTGAAGGAATCATCGAAATGTAACCAAAATATTTAAAATCGGAGACAACTTGGAGATGTTACATCTTATATAGAGGTTATATAGAGGTTTTAATAAAACCACTTCATCTTACACGATCGATAGGGATTTCACTTTGCAAAACCAATTGAGTTTTCGTTCCAAATCAGAAATGGTTGGGCGATAATAAATTCATAGATATCGTGCCACAAAATTAAACTTTCAATTATTTATAAACTACCATTTAAATTATGATTTCTCAAATCGTTTGTTGTTCCTGACATATCTATAGATCATTGTGGTGTATCAATTATTCATTTCTGATATGTTCTCGGCAGTATTCCTGGAAAAAGGATACTGACAATTTGATAGCAGTTTCTTATATTGCTGATATCACACTCATGTGGTTATCCTTAGATAAACTCTTACTCAAAATGTTGTCTTCACATGTTGAATCAAATTATCTGGAACATTTTCGCTTGAAACGTTGCGCTTTATCTTACTCAAATGAGTCATATTTCATCTTTTTTTCATATCTCCATATTTTTTTCAAATTTCAGTCAAGTTAGAGGTGGGTGTATTGACTGTATTCTTTCGCAGAAGTATTTACAGATGAGGACACTGAGAATATACCAGTCATAGACTACATATATATAGGGTCTTATATTACCAACTGGCAGATTAGCGAAGGAGAAGTGACCCTTGAACTAAAAAATCTGAAAACCAACAAATCACCAGGACAGGACAAAATCAAAGGAATTATCCTCAAGGAACTAGCAGACACTATAGCCCATCCCCTCTATTTAATCTACAAGAAATCACTAGATGAAGGATACCTACCACAAGACTGGAGACGAGCTAACATAACCCCTCTACATAAGAGCGGTTCAAAGTCAAGTCCTAACAACTACCGCCCAATAAGTCTCACATGTATTACCTGCAAAATACTTGAAAGCATCATCAGAAGGCAACTGATTGAACACCTGTACAAAAACAATCTCCTAAATACAGCCCAACATGGTTTCCTGCAAAATAGGTCTTGTACAACTAATCTTCTGGAAATAGTTGAAGCATGGTCAAATCTACTAGATACAGGGGGCGCTACTGATGCTATTTATCTTGATTATGCCAAGGCGTTTGATTCCGTGCCCCACCAAAGACTCCTACTCAAACTGGAAAGAAATTTTGGAATTAGGGGTAAATCTCTGATGTGGCTCTCGCACTTCATCCAACATAGAGAACAACGAGTAGTTATAAATGACATATCAGCACCATGGACCCCTGTACGGTCAGGAATAGCTCAGGGATCTGTAATTGGACCTTTGATCTACCTACTGTATGTCAACGACATGCCAAACGTTGTTAAACACAGTAATATAAGCCTGTTCGCTGACGATACTAAACTCCATAGAAAAGTTAACTCCATAGATGATCAAACTTTACTACAGAGGGATATTGACAATGTTCAAAAATGGACTCAAGATTGGCAATTAAAATTCAATACTAAAAAATGTGGCGTACTACATATTGGAAGAAGTAACAGGAATTTCGACTACCTGATGAAAGACAACAACTCAGACCAGAAATCTACAATTAGACATAGTAACTGTGAAAGAGATCTTGGAGTTTATATGGACACAAATCTCAAATTCAGTAACCATGTCAAAACCATAGCAAACAATGCAAACAAAGTGCTTGGAATGGTAAAAAGATCTTTTATATACTGGGACACTGATACATTTAAATTACTATTCAATGGCTTAGTCAGACCCAAACTTGAGTTTGCACAATCAGTGTGGAATCCCTACATGAAGAAGGATATAGAAGCCCTAGAGAAAATACAAAGAAGAGCAACGCGTATAGTTCCAACACTTAAAGCTCTACCCTACCCCCAGAGACTAAAGGCACTAGACCTTACAACACTTGCCTACAGACGACTACGTGGTGATATGATAGAGACGTTCAAATACATCAACTCATACTATGATGTCAACACAACAGCAACATTACCTAATTTCCAAGCAAGAGAAACACACAATAGAAGAGGAAATTCCCAACCACTCCTAAAAGCCCACTGCAAAACCTCAATGAGACAAAACACTTTCAGCCACAGGGTAACAAACAATTGGAACAGTCTCCCAGAGTACGTAGTGCAGTCAGTCCATGTCAACCAGTTCAAGAACCGCCTAGATGCACATTGGTATCACCATCCTTTAAAATTCAATTACGAAATTGCTGGCGTACAAGTAGCCCCCAAGCTACGTTAGTTTCAAAAAGTATCAGAACTGTCATACAGGCAATGTCTGCCTAGGACGGAAAATTACTTATAAACTTTAGCTATTTAAGACAATTGTGCAATAATTAGGACAGTGCGATAATATTAGGACCACTTCCTCTCAGCTGTAATTGAAGAACCAGGATGCAAAACTTAGCAAAGAATAAGAAATCACTCAGTTCAAGTAAAACATAGGTACCAACAATCCAAGGAATCTACCCACCGATTAATTCAAATCATTTCACCTCCAAGGAAGTAATAAAAAAGAAAATAATTTCAAAAGACAAGAAATAAAGAAAAATGGCCGCTGATTATTGACCGGGTAAACTTTCAGGACTATATTTGTTACGATAAATTGATATTATAGCAGTTTTCTGGTATCTTACCTTGTGATATGTACAACTTCTATAAAAAAAAGATATTTTGATATTACTCCTTGGTCTCAAGAGAGCGAATATGTCAATAACAATATCGCAATCACAAAAATTTGACTTCAATAATTTTCAACTCTCGAGAAATCTCGCGTGATTTAACCTGACGTACAGTAACACATTAAATATTATACATTATTTACCAATTGACAGATTATCAAAATAACAAATAAATACAGATTCAAATCATTTAATATTATTCTATAGTGTGGGAGCTATCAATATAAAATAAAATATTAGATATGTACACATAAAATATTTCCTTTTTACAGAACGATGCTTGTTTTGAGTGACGTCAGAGAAAAACAGAGTGAACATATTGAAAACAACTTGTAAAATAACCAGCGCAAGATGCCTCTTTTTGGTAAGAAGAAGGAAAGTAAAAAAGGTAAGAGTGTTAAATATGTGTAGAATAATATTTGAACACTATGCTATCAATAATTGTCAGTGTTGAAGCGATTTCTAAATGGTGAACTTTGGTCGGGTTTCTTATCAAATTTACTCAAAATAATCCATTGGGTAAACATTGATTGCAATTGAAAAGTCACTTTTCAAGTCCATGGGTTTATGAATCATTAATGACTGTACTTATACAAGAGTACTTATACAACAAATTAGTAATATCAAATCGTAAAGATTCATAGTCTACACTTATTCGATCACTAGAAGAATAGTCAACATCTATTCGATCACTGTAGAGTCTATATAGTTTGAGTTGTACCTCATAAAAAAGATGTCAGGAAACAAAGGTTTGTGCATTACAATTTTAACTAGATCTATGTATGGATAAATTGTGCTTATATAAATTAGTTTACCCATGAATAATGTCTTCATATTCATATTCACAGTTCACATTTATTGGATTTAGACTCTGTAGATACATTTTCTGTAAAGTTGTGTCATAAAAAGTCAGGAAACAAAGGTTTGTACATGTAGATTACAATTTACATGTTAGTTTAAAAACATCTATCATCGGGTAATTAATAATTTGCATTTTCTTATATTTTATGAAGTTTGAACTTGAACGATAAATTGAAGAAGGTCCATGGTGCATAGTTTGAAAGTGGACAAGTTAATGTTCCACAATACCACAGGAACATGCTAGTTACATATTAGTACTTTTCTGACTGAAGCCTGTATTATTTAGAAAGTATATACTTTCTACATAATACAGACTTCAGTCATGCACTATACTTGGACTTCTACCACAGAATGCAACATTTGCTCAGTATGAACACATTTCCAATATGGTGAACTTTTTGTTGGCCCTAAAGTCGTTCAAATAAAATTTGAAGGATAAAAGTGATAAAATCAAGAAAACAAAAAGGGAAATTCTTCTACCGTAAAAAGAGCGACCTTGAAATGAAGACAAACTGTCATAATTTCCAGTTGATCCCCAGTGTATATGAAATTATATTTTTTAGCACCACAACCCGCCTCAGGATATCCCGCACAGAGTTATCCTTCACAGAGTTACCCTGCTCAACCACAACAGGGTTACCCTCAACAACAACAAGGTAATTTAACTTAATGATTAGTCCCTGGACTATCCATCAGAAAATATACATAAATAATGAAGAATACATACAATATATTTGTGTTATATATTTTGCACTTCTGTTTGTCCTCCAGGTTTCTTTTAATTCAGTTCTCACTTTATGTGTATTATTCAACAGGTTAGAACAGTGGATATTTACAACTACTACAAGTACAGAGTGACACAAAAATACCACTCACTAATTTTGAAATAACTTTCTCAATAATTAAAAATTAAGTCTTCATGATTTTCTAATAAATTACATTTTTGAGTGGTTTTGAATCAGAGCATGGTTCCGCAGAAAATGAGATATCTCTCAATTTCCAAGTTGTTGATGCTCTGCAAGCATACTTATCTTTCCTCCACTGAACACTCTGTCTAGACATAAAAAAATCATGAAGATTCCTTAATTATTTTGAATTTTTGTGTCACCCTGTACCACATGGTGCCAACTTTGACCATTAATTTGAATTTTAGACCTACCAGGTATTTTGTTTTCCTTTGAATGGAACAACTTAAAAGAAAAACAGTGCAGTATGAGACTTTCAATTCAAATTAATGGTCATAGTTGAGACCCTGTGTGTACATTGCCACAATATATAATTGTACTTTCTTACTTCCTGGTATGGTTTTCCAAAAGTTGATTTAAAAAACTATCGGTAATTAATGATGGAAATGGGTAAAGTTTGGATAATATTTCAAATGTAACAGTTTAAAGGCTACAGGGTGAGCCTAAAAAGGTAACTCAAACACAAGTGTTAATAACCCAGTTATCCAGCATGGATATAAAGTCATATTAATCACAATTGAACCTTTTTCAATGTCTATTTTAAATTGTCACAATTTGATAGCCATTTTCCAAAGTGTGCTTTAGATTCTGAAATGTGCCAAAATCATCCAATGTGAACCAGTTTAAAGTAAATAATAGAACATGAAGGCCGCTAGCAAAAAGAAAAAAATATCAGAGGTTTACATTTGCTCAGTATCTAAAGTGCTCAGCTAGCACTTTTGCTCATAGAACATAAACGGGAGCGTATAGGTTTACATTTGCTGTTCAGGTCATAAAAAATTGTCTTGTTTAATTTCTCTATTGTCTACAATGACAGCCCTAGAGGCACCAGAGAGTGGAAACAAGAGATTAGAAGGAAGATGAGAGCCATCACATAAGACATCCTTGAGCGTGTCAGAACAACTTCACCCAATGCATTCAATTTTCCTCCAGAGAAGAGACAGGCATTTTGAGCATTTTTTGCAAAATGGCCTAAGAATCATGAGCATTTGGAATAGAGCAAGGAAACCTATAGTAGAAAGTACATTGAACAAGGTTTAATTGTGCCAAATGTTACCTTACACCCATGCTGAATGACTGACTTTGTTTGGGTTAATTTTTTGGCTCCCTATGTATTTCAGATTTTTATTTATGTACTTTTAATCCATCAATTTAAAATTAAAATGTTCATATTCATTGACTTGGCATTTCATTTAATTATCATAAATACAAGTTAAAAACAATTATTGACAGCGTTTGTTTGTGATTGCAGGTTACCCTGGAGCCCCTCCACCATACGCAGCAGTACCAGTAAGTTGAACCTTAGACTATAAGCATAGTGTATTGAAAGTTTGGTTCATTTGATTGATTTTCTTAAAAGTAAATTAAAAGGTAATTTTTATGATGACTGAGTGTCATGTCCCATGAACCTCTGTAACTAAAATACTATTGAGAAACATTTGTGAAACTTAGTTGAATTCTGGGTTAAGAAATAGGTGACTAACAACGAATTGTACAATGGGAGAAGATTAAATGGACTTCACTCTTTATATTATTGGATTATATTGTGGATTGCTGACTGTGGATTGCACCCACCTTTTTCGTTTCATTCTCATTGTCACATGTCTTCAGCTGTTGTCCAAATAGAACTTCTTTAGATTTCTGTTTCTTCTTTTAGCCACAAGCTCAATATGTCCCACCACCAGGAGGTGCACCTGCACAACAAGGCATCCCTCCTGCACAGTATGGTGCCCCTCCCGCTCAGTACAACCCCAACCAGACTGTTGTAGTGCAAGGGGGCTTTGATGCAGGAGCCAGGTTTGGACCAGGCACTGGAGCATCTGCTAATATCCCAGTAAGTGCATTTTATTATTCATCTACGATCAATCCAATGGTTTTACAAATTGTTTTTGATATATATTTGAAAATGCATTGATTTCCTCTGAATCATTTCCAGCCGGTTGCTAAGTGATAATTTTACCTGTAGCCTATATATTATGTATGTCAAAATATACCAATATTTTGACAGGATTCCAAAATATATTCAGCAGGGGTCATGTTATTTTCAATTTCAAACAAATTACATTACCCGTTTGTTCTTATAAATCACTGAATTATTATATTCACTTAAAACCTTATTTGCCAAGCTCAAACATGAAATCCAGTCAATGTTTTGTTCCTTCAATTGTTCAATTGTTGTATTATTCATTTCAGCCACCACCCCCTGGTGTTGCACCCAATGCTGCCCAAATGGCTCAGGGACAAGGAGCTAATGTTGTGATGACTCAGAGACCTGACAACTTTTGGGCAGGTGGATCAGATGGAGGCTACACTGTGTGGTAGAGAGGCATAACAACACAGAAAACACATATAACTTGAAGTTACAGGATAAAAAGTTTTCTTTCAACTCAGATAAGGACATACTGTGTGATTTTGAAACACTATGATGCAACAGGAACTGACCAAAATCAATTTCAGTATTGAGGAAAACACTAGAAGGACTTAATGTATGACCTCCATTGTTCACCATTAGCTTTGTGGAATGCTCTGCTCCTGGCATTAGTGTATACAATTCATGTAAAATTCATGTTGAATGATTTTAGTGGAACTTTAACATTAATTAGGAACCTGAGTTTTTGTAACTTTTGATACTGTGATTTTGATTTCAAAGAAACTTTAAACTTTGTACAAATTAATATATACTCTATATTGTATATATTATTATCAGTGATGCAAGAACACGTTGTATATAGATGTAGATATATGATGAAGACTTAATAGATATTGATCATTTAGCTGTGATGCTCATATTAAAGTAAACATACTCTATATTTTCATATTATCCAAGATTACTTTTAACTTGAATTATGTGATTTACTTGTGTATTAATTCCAATGATTTAAGTAATGTATTCTGTGTTATCTCTTTCATTATGTGTATGTGTTAGGTGATAATATTTTAATCAATTTCAGACCGGAGGGTTTTTATCAGTACATAATGTGTATAGAGGCTTTGTAAGATGTTTTCAATACATTTACAATATCATCCTAACGGCCTTCTTGTATCTAATTTTTGTAGTAAAACTCTGAAATGATATATCAATGCAAGTTATGGTGGTGGTAATATTGTTCAAGTTTGAAATCCATTCTGTATTCAACTATTCAATTTGTACCTCCAGAATGTGCAGTAATATTACAGTGATTGTTAAGATTTAATGAAATAAATATAAATATGTTAGTATGTGCAATCTTTCTATTGTGTTTCTAAAAAAACTTGTTTGAAGGACCTACAAGGTGTTTGTTTTTGTCAATATGATTAATGTTGAGACGAATCATACATCCAATTCTCAGCAACTAGAAGACTCAGAAATTCTTCTTCTAAGAAGTGGCTTAGTCCACAGGCCCACAGCAGTATGACAAAGCAGTAGTATGCCAAAGCAGTAGTATGCCAAATGACAAAGGATGAGTTCTGGGGATCAATTGTCATGGAGATAAGATGTAAAGGGGTTGAGTTGTCCGGTTACTGATTCAAATATAATTAGATCATCATTTTCTGGCCTACGTGACATATCCTAAAATGTTCAAACTTTAATATAGAACCTTTCCAATGTGGCATTTGCTTCCGTGTTCTGTATACCCCTCTACCTGCGAAAACCTCAGCGAAGTAGATTAGAGTCTCTGGAACACTTTATTTGTAAATAGTTTTCACAAGCAATTTTGTTTGTGTATCTCAAGTTTTGTCCTCGATTTCAGTCATAAATTGCGCCAATATAGCGTGCAAATCTTGGGTAGACGTTGCCATTCCCGGATGCCCAAACGTGTCAAGAACACGTAGCTATAGGTACTCGATGATCTTGATTGACCATCATGGTGCAGAGAGTGGCTCCACGAAAACAAACATCGTATATAGGCCAAGCAAATGGGCTCATAAAAGGCCCAAACATCCCAAAAATTGCAACAGTTTTTAAATTAGTCTTATATTATGTATTAATATCAGTTGAAAAACATATCAAAGATATAGAAAAATATATGCAGTGGACAAATATGAAATTTCACTTCCTAGGTACCCCCTACAACCCTACCCCAAAATTGAGTATTGGTAGGAAACAATTTTTTCTTCCCAAATGGAATACTTTAGTCAAGTATTCAAGCTTTATTATGATAGATCACATATTCACAAATAATTAAAATATCATTTTAATCAATTTTGAGACCAGTAATTGGTCATTTGACCCCAAAGTTTAACAAAATAGGCCACAAAACAGGCATGTTATCACATATCATTATTCTATTTAGATATTTTAGGATCCGTTTGTCAGAAAAGCATGAAAAAAATCATGGTGTTACATATTCATATGAACTTCATATTTGGTGAGTGTCAGAATTCTAAGATGTATACTTAGGAAGAAAAAAAAAATTTCATTTTCATAGTTTTGCCCCGCCCACTATAGGGGAGACAATAGTTTTGATGATTAACTCCCACAATGGATCACATTTGTATTAGAGTTGACATCTAAATCATTTATATAGGCTTGTCATCATCTAAAATACAAGTTTTGTGAAGGTTTATACCTTATTAGTATGAAAAATAGGAATTATTAGTTGCACCAGGTGAAATGTTAAGGTGACCTCACTTTTATTTGATGAATAATTACATATCACCACTCTGATATTAGAGTATTTGATAACTGCTCTATACTAGGCTTATCTAAATAATGTATGTTGTAGTTTTTGTGGAATTTAATATTGTTTAAAGTATTAATTACAATCCGCAATTGCAAAATTTGCATATATTTAAATTCATCTGATAAATAAATCATTACATAAGAGTACATTACTATGGAACTATCAATTGGATGTATAATGCTGTAGAAACGAATTTATGGTTATTAAACGGAATTTAAATTAAACTGACAGAGAACATTAAAATCTCAGATATCTGGGGAGTCTTTCATTTATATAATTTCAGTGCATAGGAATGATGGTAATTCTGTCTGTCAGGTTGGAAAACATTGAGTGTACATGTGCTGCATTCAGAATCGGATGCAGATATTGTGATTGTGAAAACTGCAATCCAAAGTGTCCAAATCTCAAATACAGTACTCATACAGATCTCCTTGTGCTTCTCATTTATCATGCACAAAACACAAACTTCAACATTTTCTTCAAACCTGAACCAAAAGCAGCAACCCAAGAAACAAAATGTTGGAATATAAATGTGTAGTATTGATGCCAAGGTGATAACTGGACTTGCAGATTGAAATTGATGCTTTGCCAACTTGACCCTTGCAAAATGTTTCATTGAAATATATTCTTTTAGTGATTTTGTATCTTTTGGGTGATTTTGTAGAAAATATCTTGAAATGTGTGAAAAGAATTTAAAGATTCTCGCAATCTTTACATTATCCAATCAGCGTTTGCGATGTGTATCGGCTCAAGTATAAAAGGCGAATCCAACTCAAATCCATGCAGGGGTGTATTAGGTACTCGAATAGGAAAGAGCTCGTGAAATCCGAATTTATATGCACATGGTCAATGTTTACACATGTTTGGAGTTATTGAAGAAAATATGGGTCTGGTTCCGGATTTGAAGTCATTGCTGGAAAATATGATTTTAATACGTGAAATTATATCTATAAATACAGCACTAAAAATAACAGTACACATGAAGTACATGTATGATTGTGTCCAAAAATGTTTGAAACCCTTACGGAAAATTCTGTCTGCATTTTGCCACCATTGCTCTTTCTTCCCGCATTCTAGTGCTGTTTGAATGAATATATTAATTAATGTATTTCTAATTAAAATATATCGCATTTTTTTATAAACCACAAACATTTAGATCATAATAAAAAATTATTCAATACTTGAGTGAGCACGATATGCAAGGGTTACTAAGTTGACACAGTAAATGACCACTGATATTGTGTTAGTCAATGCACACAGCGTATTCTGCTAATAATACACATTAGCTAACACCCCCCACTTTCATAGTGAAGTGACTAATTGGTTTATCTTTACGTTTTGATGTGTTTTGGGTTCCTTGTTACAGCAAGGGGGGCCAGTAAAGTAGACTAACATGTTTGCATGGCAAATTTTGATCGAACATGTGAGACACTTTAAGCTCAAGACTCAATGCAACGCGGCTGCTTCATTCCACCCAGGCGGTGTTTCCCAGTTTCCTGAACAAAGATTTGGAAACAACACCTTCAATGGAACGATTCAGCAACAATGAGTCCAAGGCTTACATCCTTAAATATTTGGCAAACATTACTTCATAGTTTATTCAAGTACTTAAGGCCTGTTGAAAAACTATATGGATTTATGAACTGTACAGAGACTTAAATACGGTTTATTGATTATATTTGGTCAGACTCGGAGGTAACTACATAAGAAATCCGTATGAAATAAGAAAGCTTCATCTTAAACATTTAACATTTTTGTTCACTATAAAAGGGATGTCTGGAAACAAAGGTAAGTTCTAATGATGATCTTCAGCTACATGTATAGTATACAAATAGTGACTACCATTGAGGGCAATAGTGTAAATTATTTCCCCGAGGGAATATCCTCTACAATGTACTATTCCCGAAGCCGCAGGCTGAGGGAATAGTACATTGTAGAGGATATTCCCAAGGGGAAATCATTTACACTATTGCTCGAAATTAGGCAGTCACTATTTGTTTTATTATATACCCTATACTGACTCTTGTCCCGTTTCCTCTGCGAAGGCCAAAAAGGCTTAGAAAGCCCCCTTCCCGGGTCCATTGTTAGCATTATAAGCTGTGACGTCATCAGATGCTCAACAGAAATTTTTGCCTCTGAGACTCTCACTTGACAAATTCAATCGCGTTTAACACGCGGAATAGATTATCATGAAATTACACAGACGTATTGAGCTTAGGGAACTTTATACACGTTGCTTATACTGTATCGTTCACGCACGTCTGTCATGGTGAGCGGAGTTGATTTGTGTTTGTGCTCATCCTCCATTTTTCTGTTTTTCGTTTGCGAAGTGATGATGCGCAGACGTTTCCAAGGGTAATAGAAGTTGCAATCGTGACGTCAGCGGGCAATAGTTCAAATGCATATTCCCGCTGACGTCACATTTGAGGGAATATAACTTTCCGAGGGAAATAGTAAATCTATTTCGGAACACGTGACTAGGTATTGACCAATCAGGATTAGTGTTACATATTGGGTATATAATAATATGCCATACTTTACATGTACAGGTCATCTTCGTCGTCCAAGGTGGTTATAACATGGGGTTGGGGCAACTAAAACCTTATGCAGATGTCTTAAGATAAGTTCATTACAGGTACATGTAGCATTGTCCAGTGATAAATGAGTTAAGTCGTCTATGTGTTGGAGTATCTAGCATATTCGCTTGGCAACCAATATTTCCTGGGGTCAAACTGTGTTTGGCAAATGATGGGAAACCATGTAAATTGAAAAGACATGGTCTCATGATGAGACATTTGTACATAATGTTTATGAAAAAGATCGATAGCAGGATAGCTATCAAGTAAACTATTTATTTTAGTCAGTTGGATTATCTCTAGAAGTTGTATATAATATTTGTCGCCTTATCACTACAATGTTAAATATAATCTGGTGGTTGTGTTTAACTATATTTATTTCGACGTTAGTCGCCAAAATCAATGATAAGGTAGAATCGTATGTTTGTTTTTCGGTTAATAGATTTAATCCACGAATTATTTATTTATGTTTGTTTTTTGCAGGTTATAGTAGGGAAGCACCACCACCATATTCAGCAGTACCAGTAAGTGAAAACCTGAAAAAGCACCACTGGTGTCCTATCCCGGGGGGTTCACTCTAAATAATTTGGGTAAGCATGTGCAGCAGGGGCAATTTTGGCTTAGGACATAAAACATGGAAGCTGGCCAATCTGAGAGGAAAAAAACATGGAAAATTTGTCGAAGAGAGAGCCTTTTTAAGTCAAAAAACAGTTTTTCTACAAATAATGGTAATAAATCGGTAAAATCAGTTGGTGAGGTCTGGGATAAATCACCTAAAAAGTGGATTTCATAGTTATTCACCAATATTTCAGGAAATTCACTCCCTTTCATAAGTCCGAGAGGAAGTATACATTGAAACTTTCAATCTTGAGAGGAAATTGACCTGAAAAAAAAGCTAAAAAAGGGGGTCTTTGGCGCGGCACATAGGTATAAAGAGGTATATTGGAGTGAACCCCCCAGGGTGTCCTATGCATTTGAGAATCATGTAGTAAAGTAAATCTTCATCCTAGAGTAAATATAGTGAAACTAAATTCTAGGTTAGGGTTTTAAACAGAAGTAATAAAATCGCATGCACAATACGCACTCGGAATATCTGTTTACTTGTAGCAACAAGCACAATATGTCCCACCACCAGGAAATGCACAAGCACAGTATGGTGCCCCTCCAACACAATACAAAGCAAACGAGACTGTCGTAGTGAAGGGGGTATTTGATGCAGGAGCTAGATTTGGACCAGGCTCTGGTGCCAGCATTCCAGTAAGGAGATTTAATAAATAATTAATTATTAGGATAAGGAAATCAGAAATACTTCTAATTGAATACACCTAGCTTTCTAATGACAATAACGGATAAAGGTGTGTGTGTGTGGGGGGGGGGGTTCATTCCCAGGCTAATTGTACATCAAAACATCAAATATTCTATAGAGTATATCATGTGCTTTGTCACTCAAACACCTCATGGACCTGGTTAAAAAGGGGCGTTAAGTTTAGGACGAATCAAAACAGGTTCTTTTTACTGGATTGAAAAGTGCTATGGCATTTTCTGCTTTTGAATAAATGTTTAGACGTTTGTGCAGATATATTTATGTTTTATATGTCTCCGGTTTGTGGATGGTTTGCTTGCCATCGAGATTAGATTGTTTCACATGGATTTTTTGCAGAGGCGAAACAAGCTAACTTCGGGTTAGCTAATTAATTTAAATACAATGTATTCATCACTGCTTGTCTAAGTTGTCTTGCTTTTATTTATTTAAGCCGCCACCCCCGGGTGTAAAGCCCAATGCTGCCCAAATGGCCCAGTCCCAAGGAGCAAATGTTGTGGCAACACAGAAACCCCAAAAGAAATGGGAAGGAGGATCGGATGGAGGCTACTGCTTGATGTAGACATATATATAGTGTCATAAATCTACTAGTGTCTTTAATGTGCATATAACTTTTTATACTAGTAAAGATCTAATATATTTGGTCGATTTAATCACAATGAAAAGATGTAGCATTGAATATCACTGATACATATGTTCATCCTATTGATGATAGACGAAGAAGCATACATGAATAGGACTAGAGTAGAACATGAAATACATTACATTGTATGATTGTTTTTAATGTATTGCATTTAACATTGTATTTTAGAACGGTCGATGTCTTAATTAGCTATGTAGAATCTATGAAATAAAGTAATGAATTCGAAAAGGCATACGCCTCGTTTTACATTAACCTCTTTACGTTTCAAAAGGAGTATCGTCGGCTATTGAAACATCGACAAAATCACTTGTATCAATACAGGGTGATCTGACAAAAATGTACAGGGTGTTCAGGAAATAAAGATAATGATGTCATAACTTTTTTATTTGTTCATGGATTGCATTGAAAGTTTCAGAGATTATAGTTACATATTTTAAGTTATTGTTGGAGTTTCAGCCTCAGGCGATTTGATTGGTTGATTCTGCGGTTGTCATAGCAACGCAAGTAGCGCTAAGGCGGGGCAGGTGGAATAACTGCAGTATATTAGCATGTTTTAAATGTTTTTAAAAGAGATTCTATCCGTGTTTATGACTAAAATGGATGCTTAAACATAGTTTTAACTATAAACCTGAAACTCTTTGCCAATTCATCAATTTATTAATCTCCTCCATTCTAGACACAAACTCTTTGCCAGGCTCTTGAACCTTCTTCAAATACTTCACAGAATTCTTCTTGACTCATTTTCTGAAGTCTGTTCAACACATGTGAACGCATGACATTAGTATTCTCTAATGCATGTCCTCTTAAGTCCCGTTTTGATTCAGCAAAGAAGTATAGATCATTTGGCACTAGGTTGGGTGAATAAGGTGGATGCTTGAGTTGCTCTAATCTCGGATGCTCAATTTTTTAGTGATTATGGCAGCAGTATGAGAGGGGGAAATGTCCAAGTGGAAGAGAAATTGCATCCCAGGTTGCTTTCTATGTAATGCCTGCATTAAAACATGAAAGTCCCATTGAATATCATTAAAAAAGCATTTATTTGACTTTTATATCATAAAACAAAACAATAGAAGAATTTTATCATGGAGTTGCACTAAGAAAGCTTTAAATATGGAGTCAAAATCGGTTTGCCATGCTAAATGTTACACAGAAACTACTGCAGTTATTCCATGTGCCCCACCTTAGCGCTACTCGTGTTGCTATGCCAACCACAGAAATGACAAATCATGGGCTCTATCAGTAGAGCCCATGGACAAATCAAATCGCTTGAAGCTGAAACTCCAAAAGCAAATTCAAATATGTTCAAACTATAATCCCTGCAAATTCTATTGAAATCCATGAATAAATAAAAAAGTTATGACAGTATTATCTTTATTTCCTGAACACCCTGTAACCTTCTAGTTTTGGAATAACAATTTGAATAATGATGGTCATTTTGCCAAGTCCTTCAATGATACAATAATGAATGAAGATTTAATGCAGTTCTCCCTGTAGTTTTCACAATTCAATTTTTGTGGGTCATCCAGGTAAGGAATTGTAATATATATGTACTCCGCTTCATTTATCATACCAAATATAAAGCCAGTATTGTGTATGCATGGTTTGTGGTGAAGATCCATTAGGGGCAGTATCAAACTCACAAATGTACAATGCAAATAAAATCAATGAAACACTACATGAACTACTTAAATGTAAATAAACATTATAAGCTGCTAATGAAGCTGAAACCAACAAAGGCAACATCCTTGATAACAAGACCAGGTGTAAGTGATATTACAACAATACACGTTACTAGATATATAACAAGCGCACCATGATCAGTCATAGCAAAACACGTTAATACAAAATATGAGATATAAAAAAATATAGAAATACACGTATAAATATAAATGGTTAAACCCATTGTCCACTGCAATGGTTCATATGTAAGTTCTCGAATGATGCATAGCCATTTTGCTGGGTTGATTCACAGATCCGGAGCCAGATCCAGCCCCTATTGGTAGTAGGCTCAAAGGATATTTATTGAGCCTAGACACAGACATGACAGAGGAGGTAATCTGGCAAAGGTCCGTGGGTTGATTAGTGATTGCTCCACTTGCTTGTTGTTCCACCTAATTGTGACGCATTGGTCAAAGGATATATCCATGGCCATGGTTGCCTATCAATTCTTCTTTTAATATTGTCTTTCTGATTCTGCCATCGTAGATGAGGGCTTGTGTTAGATCATGGGCTTTCAAGAGAGGTTAGATATTGTTTATCGGTTGTTGTCTGAATTTGATGAGTTAGTGTATGGTATTTAATGTTGATGCAAATAGGACACATGCTATCTATTGCAAGTCTGATCGCGACTTTAGCTCAATTCTATCAACTAGGCAGTTTCAATACATGTACATATTGTATGTCTCTCACAGTGTTCAACTGCTATATATATCTCGTCATTTTCGCTTCTTCTCTGCAACTTATCTCGCTGGCTCACCATTTATTTGTCTCGTGGTTTATTTGGTAATAACAAGCCTGAAGATCAATAAATACATGAAACGGTAGGTCTGTTTTTTACTATACAATTACAATGCTTAAAAGTTTAGTAACTGTAATTTTGCTTCTTATAAACTCTAAAATATTTCCATTCATATGATATCTAACTTTCACAATCATTAAACTAAAGCATGAATCTTCTTTTCTGTGATTATTGGAGCTTGAAAAATAGTTCACGTAAGTAAAACCCGAAAAAATGAGATTTTTCAATTTTCAATTTCTGAATTTGTCATACTGGTTAGTAGTTGATTTCTTTTCAATCTTTGATACTTTTAGAACAGCTTTATGTCAGGTTAATTCATTGTGTAGGTTTCAATTATCACCGTGAATTGAAAAAATATTAGTCTTATCAAGGAGCAAAATTACAGCTATTGTCCCCTAAGGAATACCGAATATCGTCTATTTCTAAGTAATGTTATGTTTAACTGTAACCTTCTTTTTGATTATCCGAACTGTTTGGCCGAAGCATTGTTATTCAAGGTACACACTCATAGCGTGTGAATCTTGTACTGGAAGCAAACGAATGCAACTTAATACACGTACCTTCAGCGTCGTGAGCGTGTAACCCATTTTTCCTAAGGAATGATAGGATTCCAGAAATTGCTCTATCCATTGAATATGTGCCCCAAGTCGACGAACTCGAGCTCGTACCACAACGTAGTAAAAAAGTGGAATTAAATCATCCGCTGACATCACAGCTTGGGTACTCTATGTAAAATAAAAAATCTCAATCGTCTTAGTCAGAAGACACATTGGACAACTCAAGGATAATCAAACAAACACTATTAACTTAATTATCAGAAACACAACTTTGATATTCTCAAAGATCTATGCAACCAGCATCCCCGATTGACAATCCTTAACAGAAAACCCAATAGGTCAATGGAGCCACGTTAGAAAACTTTCGCTGAAAATTCCCCATCACTTGGACACATCACTGGCATTCTGTTAAACTGCAAATTTTAATAGCTAGAAAATTACAAATGAATTCTAGCGATCGTCTACACCATATCCGTAACGCGTATATATTAGTGCAGAAAGTACAATTTTAGCAAGAGATCCATTATAACTAGACATGTAAATTGAACAAGTTCAATTTAAGACTCCAGATTTCAGACTTTTTTTAAGCTGAGTCATCCAAATACTTGTAAGCTGTCTCATTCAGAATAAGCTGAGTCAGCTAGAATATAGACATTTAGACAACTCTTAAGAATGTTATCTTCGACTCCATTGGCTTAACATGAGACTTCAAACCGCTATAACTATCTAATCAGAAGTTGGATCGAAATTTGGTTTAAAGATTCTGATTCCTGAAAAAATTCTACCCTTAATTCTTAACTCATACGTTAAATTTGGAGAACTTTTTATTTTGACCTACTTTTCGGACACCATATCTCAAAAGTGGGTCAAAATACTTTCTGACGGCAGAAGGCTAACACTATTAGCACACTCTTTGCTACCTGTATACAAAATTTCGAAGCAAATCATTAAAGTGTAATGTCAGAATCGCAAAAATAAGGAAAATCTATGAATTTGACCTAAATTTTGACCTAGGCATTTTGGTGTCCAAATTTTAAAGCTAGATAGCCTTCGAGGTCCCCTTCTTTTATAGGCTTTCAGAATGTTAAGCTGTACTCAGTTTATATCTGGTATTTTACACTTCAAAAAAATCTTTTTCTCATTGACATAACATGGGGCACCAAATTTAGCGATTTTTGAGCTTTCAAAACGCCATAACTTCCGAACCGAAAGTCGGATTGAAATTTGGTTTGCAGATTCAGATTCCTCAGAAAATTCTACCCTTAATTCATAGCTCATATGTTAAATTTGGAGAACTTTTTATTTTGACCTACTTTTCGGACACCATATCTCAAAAGTGGGTCAAAATACTTTCTGACGGCAAAAAGCTAACACTATAAGCACACACTTTGCTACCTGTATACAAAATTTTGAAGTAAATTATTGAAGTGTAGTGTCAGAATCGTAAAAATAAGGAAAAACTATGAATTTGACCTAGATTTTGACCTAGGCATTTTGGTGTCCAAATTTTGAAGCTATGTAGCTTTTGAGGTCCCCTTCTTTTATAAGCATTCATTATGTTAAGATGTACTCAGTCTATATCTTGTATTTTACACTTCGAAAAAGTCTTTTTTCCCATTGACTTAACATAGGCACCAAATTTAGCGATTTTTGAGCTTTTAAAACGCCATAACTTCCGAACCGGAAGTTCGATCCAAATTTGGTTTGCAGATTCGGATTCCTGAGATCATTCTACACTTATTTCAAAACTCACATGTTGAATTTGGAGAACTTTTTGTTCTGACCTACTTTCCAGACGCCATATCTCAAAATCGGTAAGAGTAATCAAAATTCTGATGTCATATCTTTAATTTGCCTTTTTCTAAGCTACACGATGAAAAAAAGATGAATGAGTTACGAAGAATATTGACGAAGATATGATGAAGAATGTTGAAAATGTAAGATTTGACCTAGTTCTTGACCTTTGACCTAGATAAAAATTTGACCTAATTTCCCAGAAAGCCGGATACAGTCTTTAGTTAACCATGTAAGTTGAATTAAGTAAGATGTTATAGTTGGAGAGAAAATCTGTTAGGAGGAAGAAAAAGAATAACTAGACATGTAAATTGAACAAGTTCAATTTAAGACTCCAGATTTCAGACTTTTTTTAAGCTGAGTCATCCAAATACTTGTAAGCTGAGTCATTCAGAATAAGCTGAGTCAGCTAGAATATAGACATTTAGACAACTCTTAAGAATGTTATCTTCGACTCAATTGGCTTAACATGGGGATATCATCATATCGACTTTTCGAGACTTCAAACCGCTATAACTATCTAATCAGAAGTTGGCTCGAAATTTGATTTAAAGATTCTGATTCTTGAGAAAATTCTACCCTTAATTCATAACTCATACGTTAAATTTGGAGAACTTTTTATTTTGACCTACTTTTCAGACACCATATCTCAAAAGTGGGTCAAAATACTTTATGACGGCAGAAGGCTAACACTATAAGCACACTCTTTGCTACCAGTATACAAAATTTCGAAGCAAATCATTAAAGTGTAATGTCAGAATCGCAAAAATAAGGAAAAACTATGAATTTGATCTAGATTTTGACCTAGGCATTTTGGTGTCCAAATTTTAAAGCGAGATAACCTTCGAGGTCCCCTTCTTTTATAGGCTTTCAGAATGTAAAGCTGTACTCAGTTTATATCTGGTATTTTACACTTCAAAAAATATTTTTTCTCATTGACATAACACGGGGCACCAAATTTAGCGATTCTTGAGCTTTAAAAACGCCATAACTTCCGAACCGAAAGTCGGATTGAAATTTGGTTTGCAGATTCGGATTCCTGGGAAAATTCTTCCCTTAATTTATAGCTCATATGTTAAATTTGGAGAACTTTTTATTTTGACCTACTTTTCGGACACCATATCTCAAAAGTGGGTCAAAATACTTTCTGACGGCAAAAGGCTTTCACTATTAGCACACTCTTTGCTACCTGTATACAAAATTTGGAAGCAAATCATTAAAGTGTAGTGTCAGAATCGCAAAAATAAGTTAAAACTATAAATTTGACCTAGATTTTGACCTAGGCATTTTGGTGTCCAAATCTTAAAGCTAGGTAGCTTTTGAGGTCCCCTTCTTTTACAGGCGTTCATTATGTTAAGCTGTATTCAGTCTATATTAAGTATTTTACACTTCAAAAAAAATCTTTTTTCCCATTGACTTAACATGGGGCACCAAATTTAGCGTTTTTTAGCTTTCAAAATGCCATAACTTCCGAATTGGAAGTCAGATCGAAATTTGGTTTGCAGATTTGGATTCCTGAGAAAATTCTACATCTTTTACATAGCTCACATATTCAATTTGGAGGATGTTCAGTCGTGACCTACATTTCGGACGCCATATCTCAAAATCGGTAAGAGTAATCAAAATTCTGATGTCATATCTTTGATTCGCCTTTTTCTAAGCTACATGATGAAAAAAAGATGAAGGAGTTACGATGAATATTGACGAAGATATTATGAAGAATGTTGAAAATGTAAGATTTGACCTAGTTCTTGACCTTTGACCTAGATAAAAATTTGACCTAATTTCCCAGAAAGCCAGAAACATTCCTTAGTTAACCATGTAAGTTGGTTTAAGTAAGATGTTATAGTTGGAGAGAAAATGTGTTAGGAGGAAGAAAGAAAGAAAGAAAAAGAGGAATAATAAGAAAACAGGCAAAAACAATAGACTCCAGATTTCATCTGGAGTCTAATAATAAGAAAACAGGCAAAAACAATAGACTCCAGATTTCATCTGGAGTCTAATTAGAATCGGTGAGTTTTTGTGAGATATAAACATACCTTGTTTATTTCCTCAATTGCTTGATTCACAACCTTGAGTTTGCCAAGTGGAAGGGATTCTTCACTGAAATAAAGTATCCATAAATAAGTAATCCATACACATTCACACATAACTGAACAAGTTTCCTTGTGTTTTTCACGCAAATAATACCTTATTTTCCTGAATATTTCTACAGCTTGTACGCAACACTGATCCTTACACACGATCCAAAAATTGTTGCCATGATTACGTTGCAACTCTTCTACTGCCTCTGTGTCCATCATCAACGGCCAAAATTGACTAAAACAGAAGCTCGTTAGTTAGTTTATATGGGAAAGCTCAAGGAGCGCGACATATAAGAAGGGGTAAACTTCAGAGTTGAAAATATATTTAATGCCAACCTCGACCGGACTTGAAAAAAACATGTAAAATTCCCATCTAAGTTTTCATTGTTTCATACTCGTCATCAGATTTAAAGTTAAAGCATTAGTATCTTTACTGCAGCTAATAAATCCAAACTATCTTCATGAAGCATACACAGATGGGATGAGACAACTTCATTATGAGGTCCCCGAACAAGGGTCATTCACGACCATACTGCATTTTAGCCACTCTACATACCGCTGGTCCTTTTGTTAAACTCACTCTTTTACTTTAAGCTGTGCCAACAAAGCTATATCTCCATAAGCATTCCAGTTTTCTATTCGGTCCCAATACAGTTTATCGTCGTTCTCATTGCATAGTACACACAGTTGCAAGGTAGATGGATAGAGCTTGGGAAGTAAGAAGGGATGCAACAACATGGCAGCTGAAAGATACCTATAATGTAACACATTCTTTTGATTTAGGATGCATGAAAAACATTATGTCGATTCCAATGTATGCTGATCATCGTGAGGTAAATTAAATGATCAGGCAAAATTACCACTTATACAGTATCTTCCTTAACTTCGAGCCAAATTATTATCCACAACGTGACTTATAAGTAGGTGTAAATCGGGAAATAAAAAAATCTTACCAAAACCTAGTCCCGGAAGTAGTTCCGCCATGATACACTGACGATACGTCTGTGTATGAACTAGGTGGGTAGCAGTGAATATGGACTTCCTTGGGATTTGAGGTAGCGTCGTTATTTTGAACTAACAAACAATGGATGTTTCAAATACAATAGAACGAGAAGTTACCTTTCGTTATCGCTCATTATTGCTTCCTCGTCTGTCCCATCTTCTAGTTCAATACATCCCGACTCTTCTGGGAGATATGGAAAGAGAACCCTAGAAACAATCTAACCTTTCAAGGACGATATACATTTTCCCATACTCACCCCTTCTTTTGAATACTGAGTAGATCATAAAAGTATTGTAGTGTGGGCCGTGTTGCATTATGTGTAAAGGTGATGAGAGTACATAGAAATATATAACATGTATAACCCTAGTATCACACCAAACAAGTTCTCACTACGTTCTCGAAAACGGGTTTCAACAGAACCCACTAAGAACCGTTTGGGATCTGTTTACAAACTTCATGAAACCACTAGAACGAGTAGGTCCTCCAGAACTTAGAGCATGCTCAAAATTTCCTGGTGGTCGTCAAAACGTTGCCGAATCGGTTTTAAACTGTGTGCGAACTGAATGAACGTAGCTACAACGTTCTACGGTCTGTTTACGAACTTCATGGACTTTCCCGGACGGGGAATGTGATTTAGAATTTTTAATCGCCAAAATTTGATGGCGACCATACCGTTCTGTAATCAGGTCATAATGACCTTCTAGACTAAGGGACGCGTTATACGACGTTGCACACCGACGTGGTGCGACCTGAACGAACTGCGAACGAGATGGACGTATTGAAGACTGTTTATGAATTTCATAAATCTCACATAAAACATTATATTTAATTAATCTCAAGTTCCAAACTTTATAAATATGACAACTAAGGTGAAATACTTACAAAATACTCACTAATGCACAAAATTGCGAAAACATAAAGATATAGAAAGCTACAGAGTATATAAATATGCTCCAAACGGCGATTAAAAAGATCAATAACCCCTGAAATGGCGCCGAATTATTTCTGAATGGAAACGAAGGTTAGTGAAGGAAAGAAATGTAGCTGCGATGTTAAAATAAATAATAAATTCCCGCAAATGCTACAGTATGTTTATGGTTACCAACTATACAGTGTGTTTCATATGTATGCACCCCCCTCTAAAATCATACATGTAGCATTGCCTGCTTATCATGTTATATATCATTTGTTCATTATGGGGCGTTTCATAAGATTCCACATTTCAGAATAAATGTACAATGTATGTCGCTGAAAAAGATACAATGTATCAAAGTATGCGGGTACGGGTCGTTTAGACCGCAATTTCTGGTGTTTTTGAGGACAATTTAAAGGACAACTTTAGTCTCCGTATTGCACATTTCTAGCTATTGTCACCATGGCAGAGCTCAGTCCACATGTCTGTGGCAGTTATGCACAAAGATATAAAGACAGGATTGGCTTATATGGAGGTCAGGGACCATAGTACCACCTTTATTACTAAAAATGGGTAGCAGACTGGGTAGCAGACTAAGTGAACATATCGCTGGACTGGCTTAAAAATCCATACAAAACTGCTTATAAATGACCCCCTACCCACATATTTTGAGGGATATTATCTTTCTCTTGATTCTGAAACTTTCTAATCCTATGTAACGTTTCAGGAACAAAATGATATATAATGATAGGATGGCAAGGCTACATGTATGAGTTTAGAGGGATGCATATAACATATGAAACACCCTATATATTTTTCTAAATGTAGGGATTAATCTAACGAGCTACATGTATAACATTATCAACCATTCTCAATCCATATTCCAAAATACGTACCTAACAATATGGTAAATTCTAACAACATAAGAGTTCACTTCCTCAACACCATGTTGCATAAGTCGGGGGTGTGCCCCTACTCCATCGTAGAGCGATGTAAAGTCCTCCAATATATCTCCCAGGAGTTGAGCGAGTGGGTGATTGGGACAAGTAAAAGCCTAAAAATTGTTGTCATTAATGCACTGTTATAACAAATTCAAAATAAGGGTACAAAGAGATGATAAACAACATTATATCTACCTCTATAATATCATATTTTTTGTACCTCAGAAAGATATTTCTGTATCGCTAGAATATCTGTGTATGTTTTAATTCCAATCCCATCACTGCGAGGTCTCTGAGGGTAACAAGCGTCTTTACCATCAGCTAATATGCTGTCTATGTTTTCCCAAACCTTTTCATTGTCCACAGCTTCATCTTCAGTGTAACCGAGACGACTTCGACAGTGTTGAAAATGTTCTTGACATTTGTAATCAGTCTTGTCCGAGAAAATTCCAAAACACCTGAAAGACAGCTTAATGTTGTATTATGAACATTTTCAGTATCGAAGAAAATATGCATGGCCAGCAGTCAAGGTTTTGATTTAGTTGATTCCCAATTGATGAATATAATTCTCTCACCATTTTAATGTTGAACAGAAGGTGGAACATATATACCTCTCAACAATCATTTGCTTCAACGTATCATCAGATGCATCATTTGGAATATCTCTACGTAAATCATTAATGATATGATCGAGAGCTGTCTTGTCATCGACCACTTCATCAAATCTTAGTTTGGTTGTCGTTATCAATGTTGAAATTCCACCGCTCATGGATTCTAATCCTAGTATACCACCTCCTGTGTGGAAGAACTTTCCTGTAAGTTTCTTTTCCAGGGCTTCAAAATTACATCTGTCCGCATCAAGACACTCGTTGATTTTTCTTTCAAGTTGTTTGGATAGAACAAGTTGACATTCATCGTTGCAATCTATCTCCGCCAAAGATTTGATGGTTTTTTCACGGGAAGCTTTACATCTTTCGAGAGCTGTGTTATCGGTTTCGTCATTCCTTTAAAAAGATAAGCAAGCAAATCAACCATATAAGCTATACCGCACAGATGTGTTATCAATAAACTGGAAAGTGAAGAGGAAGTTATATTCCATGATATTGTAATAAAATAAAATCAAATCAAAACAATTCGAATTCAATAACAACTCATTGCTTACATCTCATGGATCACTGTCTCTATCAGTTCACAATCAGAGAAGTTGATGGCGGACTTCCAAGTGTCAAGAACAAATTGTAGGCTGTTTTTGTCTGGGATGGTTACAGCAAGACAAAGAGGGGCGGGAGGTAATATGTCATTCGAAATGGAGTCTGCTTTTAGGATAAGAGGCGTACGTGTGTCGACGTTCGTGAGATTTTTCAATCGTGGCCCCATTATCATTTTCTTCAAAGCCTCGCTCGCTTTCCAGTCATCTTTAAATCGTTTATTCATAGATTGTTTTTGTTTCCTTGAAATGGTTATTGATGCTTCAGTTTCATTATCGGATTCTGGTCTTGAAATAATGTCTTCCAAGCATGATATGGTGCGCCCTCTATAATAACGCCACGTGACCATCATATCAGTTATGTCAAGTTCCTTCCTAGGTATAATACACATTTGTAATTAGGCATGATCAACGATCACGAGACAGGAAATATTTTGCAGTAAAAACAATAGCGAAAATGAAAGTGCTTTGATTAGTTTATTTGGATTATCAGTGGCTATATACATACGTTTGGTTAATGACTTTCAAAAGTCGTGTGATGTCTTCATCTGGTAGTTGCATTACAGTCTCCCAACTTTCAACCACTTTACCAATTGCCTTGTAAGGTGAAGTCTTTATCAACTCTCGTGTTTCTGCCAATATCTTTTTCATGACTTCAGGTATTTTACCAGATTTTGAGATAAGTGTTGATGCAACAACAAGTTCGCTTACATCGCTTGCCAATCCTTCAACTGATAGTCCGTTGCTGCCCCAATCCTGAACTCTACCATTGATTCTCTTCTCAAGCGTCTTCAATGCAGTGTTGTCTTTTTTTAAACACGAATTCACTTTATTCTCAAAGTCTTTTTTCAATCGGATCTCCTCTGAATTCTTTTGTTTGACGACTTCTTTCAACACACGAATCGTTTCGCGTCGACAATATTTCCATTCTGTCAACACTGTTTGCATTTCTGCTTCATTTCTAAAATGCGCCAAAATAATGGGGTATATAATAATCTTAAAACATGACCTTATATTGTCAAGCGTTCTAATATAAAAACAATACACATTATTGGTCATTGGCAATCACAAATGATATTATTAGCAATAAATCTAGATCTCACCTTTCGTTTTTAATCTTCTCTATTATCTCAGCATCGGTAAGTGCTAATGTGCGTAGCCATTGGACAATAGTTTCTTCTATAATTGTTTTAATAGTTTCATTATCCTGGTAACGTACCAAGTCCTCCATAATGTCAAGTCCGGTTGCTATCCCCTGGGCACTTCGTTTAAGATCACATTCGTGTAGGTCCATTTGCATAACGAGATTTTCCAACTTATCGAATGCGTCACAATCACTTCTTATATGTCCTTTGAGCTCTGTATTAGATTTGAAGTCAAAATCTGTAGAATCATTTGCACAAAGCTCTTTCAATGAATTTAACGTACTAAGTCTACATTCTTTCCAGGTGTCCAAAGCCTTCTTCACATCAGCGTCTCTGTAAAATAGTATAGTTGACAGATTAACTGCATAATTATCTAATATACGCATACTATTAGAGTACATAAAATAAAAACTATCAGTCAAGTTTGATTTTTTTCAAAACGGATTACATCTTTCATATTTTAATTTTGTTTGCTTTAAATATCATACCTTTTATTTGCAGTAGCAACAATGGCCAGAATATCCTGATCTGTTGATCGGAGGATTTGTTCCATCTCACCGATAATAGTTTCAAGAGCCTCTGAATTTGATGCAACATTTTTGAGCCGTTTAACCGCATCAACGAGGGAATAAATATCCCAAGCTAAAGCCAGTGTGCCTAAAACACCTCCACCGATATGAAAAGCCCTACCAGCGGTGCCCATCACTTTGAATCCAATTTCAGTGCCCGATACTACCCCCGCCCTAATTGCTCTTGCTGCGTATATACTATGGACAGTGATATCACTGATCTTTGCAGGGAGTACCGTTACAGTCTGGGCAACCATCGCAGGTACACTGACGCGCTTTTGTTCTAGAGACGTTTTGGGGATTATGTTGGTATGCGTAACGTTATCTCCTTCATCACCAGAATCAATAACAGCCGATTGAGCTTTAATCTTAGTCTTTAGTTCGTCAAACGCCTCCTTTTGTTTCTCAAGAAGTGAATTAATTTTATCCTCTTCACCTTTTGATAATATTAGTGCCCCGATCTCCTTAGCAATAAATGACGATATGGCCACGCCTGCACCTATGGCTATGGGTAATAAGACGGGCAAACCAGCAAACACAAATGCAAGACCAACTCCTACCAGTCCTGTTATACCACCAGCCATACCGATAGTGATTGTACTGATATCCGTGATAGCTTTGTGTTTATGTCGTTTCTTCTCATTCTCAGCAATTTCACGTAAGCATTGCACGGTTTCCCTTCGAGAAGCTCTCCATCCCTCTAATAACAGTACCGTTTCCCCGTTCTCGTTTTCACTTTCTTCTTCATTAACGTCATAGTGTGTCTCGACACATCCGGATTCAGCTAAAGTCAAGATAACTAGAAATTTGAAATTGAACAAGTTCAAAACTCATGACACTAGAGAGGTTAAGCTACACGTATAAATGCAAACCGTGAACCTGAACGCGTAAGTCCACGCTCAAGTGCACGTTTAAGAAAATTTTCTGTTAAGCTACACGTCTGAAACCATGTCAGTGGACGTGGAGATATATTTATGTGGTGACGGTGTCTAAAGATCATGTCTCTATGGTCACACTGATGGTATAATGGATAGCACTTCGGACTCGTGTCCGTTTGGCCTGGGTTCGAATCTAGTCGCATTAAAACATTTTGTTTTTTATTTTTGCTTTATTTCATATTCAACCACAATTAAAGGGTCTAGTGCACTCCTTTATGATTTCCCCATGAACAAAATGAATCATTTTAGAGGTTTAACATAAAGAATACAATGTCGCACAATAATTTGGAAAATATTAAGCGTTTGGACCCACATGGGCTTAGGTTGAGGTCATTACGTTCAGCAAGGGTATATATATACAGGGCGTTCATAAAGTTCTTGCAAAAGTACTTTAATTTCTTTGTTTCTCAATCAATCTGGCTGAAATTTTCACTCAGTATACCTACACTATTCATACATTTGATACTTGAATTATAATGAATAGGTTTTTGAAGAAAAAAAGTTATGATTGCTATAGTAACATGATTCGGGGGTAGGCGGAGCAGCATAGAAAAAAGAATAATTTAGATAAAAAATATGGGTAAGAGGTAACTTTAACATACTTTAAAGTATCCTTGAAAATACAAAACAAGCTAATGTTGCCATGTCAACACTAGATGATGTCTCATGATGACATCAGAGTTGAAATTTCATTGATTCATGACATTACTCAAGGTATCATAGTAACCTATATTGGTTGATGACATCTGACTTTGTGAAAGGCAGCGTTAATTTCATTTTTGTGACAATGGCTGCAAAATCAGCAAAAGATGATGATTTGCTATTACAAATATCCACTTGCATCGTTATGTATGTTTACTGGGAAATTCAAAGAAAACAAACGCTTGAAGATATTCATAAGGTGTATGGGAAGGAGGCTATGGTCAAAAAGAACCATTTACAAAACAGACTAAGACATTAACTGATGGTAAAACAAATGGTAAGGACAATGCTAGATCAGGCCATCCAAGAACGAAATCCAGTGAGGATCAGATGATGTTGCCATCCATACAAAGATCAATCGCAATAAATTTTCCAAATGGGTTCTCCCATCTGTTTGAGGAATGGTAAGTAAGACAGCAGAGGTGTATAGACCATGATGAACACTATTTAGAACACCTATACTCTTGAGATACTGTCATTAAAGTAAATAGGACAAGTTAAAAACATTTTGAACATTCAAACAAAACAGATCCTTTTTTACTTGCTCCGCCTACCCCTGACTCATGTAACTATAGCAACCATAACTTTTTTTCCTCAAAGACCCATTAATTAAGACTTCGGATCTCAATGTATGAATAGTGTAGGTATACTGAGTGAAAATTTCAGCCAGATTTACGAAGATACAAAAATTTTAGAGTACTTTTGCAAGAACTTTATGAACGCCCTGTATATATTTTTTATTTATTTATTAAAATCAATGTGACATATTTACAGGTTTTAGTGGCTATGACCCCCAAGAGGGAGTTTTAGGTGCCACATAATAGATAACTTTCTCAGATAATTGGTTTTCTATGCAGTGATCTCACAACTGGAACCTTATACTGTTTGCAATCCAGACATTTTTCTTTTAGCTAAAATCGACGGTAGACATTTTGTCTACCATTTTGGATGAGACTGATTCCGGTTAGTTAGAAAATACTAATCCAATATTAATTGTGTTCATCTTTTTGGGAAAGAAAGAAGAGACTGTGCATGTACAGACCCTGTTGTTAGTTAGTTGTAAAACATTATGCGCCCTGGACACCTGCTCAAAAGACATTAGTATTAGAAACATACGAAAAACGCAGTCAGAGGTGACTGTCACAGCAATAAAACAGAATAACTGTCTAATCATAGTGCTTTGGCACTTCAGATTTGGCACAAATTATCCTCATTCAATGTGTGGTGAATTTTTGAAGTTTCATAAAAATCACTCCAGGGACTTTACAGTCATGGTCAAAATGCCTTCTTAAGTCTGCCTGAACCAGGGCGTTTTGCTGCATTTTGAAAGCATTTCGACCATAACTGTAAAGTCCCTTGAGTGATTTTGATTTCACTCGACAGATTTACCATACATTGAATGAAGATGATTTGTGCCTTTGAAGAGCCAAAACACTATCATTAGGAAGTTATTTAGTTTTTTTGCGGTTGCAGTCACCCCTGACTGCGTTTTTCGTATGTTTCTAATACTAATGTCTTTTGAGCAAGTGTCCAATGCATCATGTTTTACAATTAACCAACTACAGGAGCTACATGTACATACACGGTCTCTTCTTTCTTTCCTGGAAAAATGAGTATAATTGAATTAGTATTTTCCAAGATATAGAGATTTCTTTGGGTTGCGTTTTTTGAACACCCTGTTCCTGCTGTGGACCATTGCTCTTGCTGCAGGAGAATGACTCTTACTTAAATTATTTCATAATAAAAGAGTGCCAACTCAAGAAAGCTCAGGTATGGTACAGTGACCACAATGATGATTGGCTGATCATGATCAAAAGTAAGAAAAGATAGATGTGTTGTTCGAGTAAAATATCAAATCAATAAACATTTATTAAAATAGTAAAATTATGATGAATGATAATCTTTCAGTATAGAAACATTTGGTGAATAAAAAAGTGAATCAAACCGTTGCTAGTATATTTGAACTCTTTGTTATCGGTTGAGATAGTAAAAAACTTGAAATGATTAAAATAGTATATCCAATTAGACAAAGGTTGCCAGAAAGGTTACACATTTATCTCTATGTGTTTGTGAACCAATAAATCACACAAAACAAAAAAATAAGATAACACAGGTTTTAACTATTTAAATAACCTGTCGATGATATATGTTTTTCTAAACTACACAATTTAAGACGGTTGAGGATTTAATAAATATTCATGTATTTGGTATAATTTAAAAAATCAAAAATGTACGTTGTCATCTCCAATGTACGTTGTCCCGGTAATTGAAATGCATGAGATTATTATTATTTATTAAACAATGCAATATGATTTAATTTCAAAACGCATTAAGGGTTTTATGAGTAACAAGTGGTGTTCAACATACATGTTCATGTATCCCTGGTACAGATTAACAGCTAAGAGTGATTTTTTACCCCTTGTTGAATGCTATTTTATTTTATGAAAGTGTTGATATGGTGATTAATATTTGACCATGTATTCAAACCCTGTTTTGAGGCTACCAGTGGAAAACACCGACCGGTCAGTGGTCGGTGGGGTCGGTCGCTTTTCGTAAACCCCTTTTATTCTATTGATAATATCCCATCTTCCCAGACTCTCATTGCGTTGCAGTATTAGTATAGGTGTTTCAAATCGTGAAATGTCTTTGCATCTATCATTTGTGAAAATGACGCACTTAGAACAATCGATTTATCTCCTCTTGGTATCTTTGGTTGTATTGGACTAAAGCATTGACTCTTAAAATATACTAAAATATAGCATAAAGTTCCACAATGCGTATAAAAGATTGTGGTGTGTACTTGCATGTCATTGTCTTTGTATGAGTGCACGTAGTTTCTGGGTCTGTCTCTCAGGATTTATTACGTAAATTACGGCCGTAAACCCAAGAGGTATTGATCACCTTCACTGTTGGTTAAAATACAATACAATAACCAGTCAACAGTTTGAAATTACTTGTACTTTTTAAATTATAGTTGTCCCAATGTTTTTGTAATAGAATTACTTAAGGGTATAACAAAATAACAAAATCGTTGTTTCTTTCAATTTAACGGTATCTTTCTGTATTTTGACCATTACATCAAATATGATGGTGTTAAAATGCAATCAAGTAATGCAGTAATTATAATCCAAGTAATAAACTCTCTGTATCAGCATAATATAAGTGCAATATTTAAAAAAATGTAATAATCGGGTCATAATCGGGTCATTCATTTCTGACTTGCTTCTTTATTACTTGACTTTAATAATCAGTTTTAGGAGTAGGCCCCCCATATATGATTTTTGCTAGAAATTATTCCTATATCCATAGGAGCAGCTACATGAAAATTCAGACAAAACTAACGCTTACCTCAAAAGTCAGAATAGGAACTTGAGTTAAAGACCATATTTGATGGAATGTCACCCTCTTTTAAATAAACCATCGGATGAATATGAATGAATATGATATGAATATACGAATGATTATCACAAATCAATTTCAATGAGTGGATAAAAATATGATATATCATTCCAAAATACCAAGAGATTAATTACAAAGTACCATTTTCATGGTATTCTTTTTTATTCCATAGTTAGCATGATATTCATAGGATAACATGTGAAAATAAAAACGGTATTTTTGTAATCAGTGGTAAAATATGATATTTTTGACAAATTTTCACTTAACCATAGCATACGGTTTTTTAGCCATGACATACGGCGCCGTATGCGATGGTTTATGGATTTTTGCTACTTCAGACTCAAAACGAGGCTAATTAGTGTCAACATCGCCGGATCGTTTGGAAAATTCGAATTAAATAACTTAATTCCCGACGATTCTGATGATGACTTTAACTATGGAATAAAAAGAAGATCCTATGATTTACTCGTGATTGGATTTTAATCCGCTCATGGATATTGATATCTGCACTCTCTCGCTACGCTCACTCGTGCAGATATCATATCCATTCGTGGATAAAAATCATATCACTCATTAATCATAGGATATCCTCTATTTATTCCATAATACTACTGTTTTCCCAGGGAAATATGAAGGAATAAAAATTGTATTGAATTGTATTACATGAAAAAATCGTATTGTCCCCGGGAAAAAATCGTATTGGAGCGTATTACATGAAAAAATCGTATTGTCCCCGGGAAAAATCGTATTGGAGC